AATTATTGTTGCACTTCTGAGCATAACTTTCAAATTTAAAAAACCTATGAAAAGAAAATTTGAGACAAATTTTTTTTATATATTAATAGACTCCCCTTTTAAAGCTGAATTGAATGGTGGTAAGTTTTTTGAAATCCAATGTGTGGATCATATAATATTTCAAAAATTTTGAGTATAGATGATCCGCACTGTATTATAATTCGATGATGAGTAATGTTCTTTCAACATTCTAAAATATGTTATTTATGAATAAAAATATTCAATTCAACATGAGATATACTCTTTTTCCTCGGATTATAGATATAGAGGTATTTGTGTTGCTATTAATAAATAGTAGAAGTTTTTAGACTGGGTTTTGATGAATTAAATGTATAAAGATACTTCTAATGAATTCATACGTCATATTATCTTGAAATGATATAACTTTATGAACTTTATGTTCTTGAACTATTGAAGATAACTGTGACATAATATGTAATAAAATTAACCAATCGTAATGCTCATTTATTTTGCAACAAATTAATTAATAAATGCATTCGATTTTTTAAAAGACTTTGTGGTGGAAATTTAAAACATTTAAATTTGGTGATTGAATATTCATATGAAAAATCCCAATTGCCAGTAATTGTGGTTTTGTGCAGCATATAATAGACCATTTTTTTTTCAGATGGATTTTAGATGGGTCACCAGTTTTTTGACATTCTTTAATGTGAATAATTGGAGGACATAAAGGGCTCAAAGTGAAAGTCTGACTGAAAATTTACCAAGATTCAATACAGCTTGGATCTATTATTATTTATTAAAAATGATTTTTAAAGAATTTGTGTACAATTGGAGGGGGGGGGGAATAATACGATGAACAAATCACCATCACCATCGTCACCATCTTTGCTTTTACCATTACCGCCATATTATTACCATTATCACCATTATTTTAAAAATTGCTCCTTTAAAATTTCATTTTATGGTCCTAATATTATTATTATTTCTAACTTCATTAATTGTGTAGTTTATTATATAAAACTTCCACTATGCCTAGTATTGTCTCATCATAATTCATCATAATAATCAAAATGAATAATCATTAAAATCGTAATAACTAATAGTAGAATTTTCAAAATTAGAATAATCAAAGGGATTATCATTAAGACAACCATTATCTGATTGTTCAAGAAAAATAAGATCTGAACTGCATTAATTAGCAAGAAGTTCAAACTTATCAACATTTCCATGGTAACAAAGTTTCCAAGTTCCTTTTTACATCATTTAATCAATGGTTTAATTAAAAACCTTGTTTCAACATGTAATAAATCAATGCATTGTTCCACTTTGCTTGCTACTACTGTTGTTTTGACAATGATGATGGGGATACCTCTTTACCACTACTATCATCTTTACCATTATCATCATCTTCTGATCATCATTATTAATAGTCCACCAGTATATAAAAATTCAGAATAGTTTTCATTGTTTGGTAAGGAGTACCTTTTGATAAAAAGTATTCGGAATTATCAGTTAAAACATGAAGTGAATTTTTTTTTTTGACAATTCATTGATGTGTATGTTTGAAATAGTAACATAATAATCATTATCAACAATAATAGTAAAAACACCAGTTGATACATCATCAAAGTATATATTGTTTTATTATCAAAGCTGGTGAAGAAGATATTATTATATTATTTAATGGTGACTCACAAATAAATTGTGGTTCATGAGGACTAAACAATGTTTGTCTAAATATTCAAGTTTGTTGCCAACAGTCAATAACTGTGCTGTCACCTAATAACAGAGATTTTAACTTAGGCCCATGTTGATTCCTAACAAATTGATATTACTTTCCAATGCTCTTTACCAAAAGCATATCATTATCATTAACTAAAACTAGCCAATCAGGATCTGGATTGGATCAAGCAGGTAGTAGTTGAATCATCCATTTCACTGAGGCTCATCAAATGTTCAAATTGTAGCTTTGGCAATAATGAGTCAATTACCAGTTTACTGAGTCTATAATCAAATTTCCATATAACATATGTTGACTTCATATTAAATTCTGTATCTTCTCTGTCAAATAAACCTTATTTCATTTAAAATATTTATTTTTTTAATAAAATTAATTGTAGATTGATGGATAAACTTACACCTCACGTCCATACATTACTATGCTTCAAAGCACCATGTCCCAAATGGTTGATTATCAAAATTTCCGTTCTTGTGATAAACATTATTTCTAGTATTACAACTTGATTGATGAGAGTAAGTGGAGGGTGATGGCAATGATGGTGATGATGGATTTTGGTACAAGATTTATTTTCCATTTATTATTTAAAATTCTTGCATTGTTGATGATAATGATGATGCAGAAGAAGTTTGTGGTAATTTATCAATTATTTTTTTATCTTCTGATGATCTTTTGCAGCAGATCAAAGTCATAATAATAATCAGTAATAGGAGCTTGAGGAAATAAATAATAATAATTATAATTATTATTACCAATTTAAGTCTTGCTCAAATATTTGGAGAAACATTCTTTTCTAGTAAAATTGTAGAAACTATTGCTATCTACAGCTAATTCCGGATTTAGTCTCCGCCAGTTTTAAAATTCCGTGTAATGATAAAAATTAGCAACCTTTTTAAGTTTAGAGAGTATAAATGCATATTTAATATTAAATGATTTTCTTGATCTATTAAGCTGGAAGTTGATCATAATTTATTTTTTTTATTTATATATATAATAAAAAAATAAAAAAGAATTAAATGATCTTTTCAAATTAATTCTTAAATGATCATAAAATGACCTTCTATTATTATTATCGTTGTTATTATCATTAATTTTTTCTTCTCTCATGAAAAATCTTCAATAAAATTAATTATCTGGTTCATATACATAATTATTCATATCTTCTTCGTTGAAGATTGATTCAGTGGGTACTTTGAATTTTTCAACATTGCTCCACTTATCACCAATTAATCTTGATAATTCTTTGTGTCTTTCAAGTTTATTTGCAATATCATCATCACCAGGAATTGTTTTTCTGGAACCACTTCTTCTACTTTTTATTTCTTTTTGTTTTTCAGGCTTTATTATTTTTAAAAGAAAAAATTAGAATTAAAATTTAATATACAAGTGAATATTTAATAGAAAAATGAATAACCAAGAAAAACAATTACATATCGAGCCAAGTAAGCTTCATTAATTTCATTATTAATTACTGTTTCAATTTGGATAAATTGTTGATAACCTATCATGTCCTTTACACTTTCTTTCAGGACAGATTTACGGTATGCGTTCTTTTTTTCCAATTCACGCAGCCTTGCTTGTAATTCAAGCAACTCTTTGCCAATCTCGTCGTCATCATCAACACACCCTTCATTCCATTGAAACTAAATAAATTTATTTATAAATGCATAAATAGATAAGTATTTATATATAAAAATTATAACGTATTTATAAATATACTAACATCATCATCATCATCAACAAGACCCAAAGCTTTCAATTCTCTAAAAACGTTATCGTTCACATTATGGTCTTGTGTATCAAAGTCCGCTATAGGAAAAATTGTTTCAAATTTCAATGTGATTTCTGTTAAACTTTATAAAGTTTAAGATTAAAAATAAATTAAACTTTATACTAACTCATTTGAATACAAATTAATGAGTGTGTCTAATAATTTTTTCACTTAATATAAATTCAAAAACAAGAATCATGAGAAAATAATTTTGAAAATACCCTTGTACAACAGTTGTTTGTTGTTGTTGTTGTTTGTTGATAATCATCAGCTTTAAAATAAATATTTTCCCAAAAAAATAATCAATAATTTTTTTCTTAATTTCTATTTTAGAATACAAAAAAAAAATAGATAGATTTAAAGATGGATAGTAATAATAATAATAAAAAAGAGCTTAAAAAAATCTTTCAAATTTCAAGTAAATCGCGCAAAAGGAATTTAAAAAAAATCATTCAGAATCCCAATAACGCTCATAATAACTCCAGCAACTTTTACCATGCATCTGCAAGTTCCTCCTCTTCTACTCCGTCACCGCCACCACCACCATCTTCTTTTCAATCCACGCCGATTATTTGTTATGGTGGAACAATTGAAACTAGAGTATCAAGATTTAACCTATTAAACTTAAAGCAGGAATTGCAATCAATCACTTCCTCCTCATTACTAAAAAGGGGAAAATACTATAATTTATATAATGAAATTGGTGGAAATATCAAAGATCTCGAAGAAAATATGAAAGAAGCAAAAGAAATTTTCATCAAAAAAGATAAATCAACAATAAGCAGTAGTCCTAAACAAGCAAACTTAAAAAGAAAAAAGCAATCAAAAAATGCTGACGATGATTCTGGTAAATTATATAATTAATTATTATATTGTGTATGCACATGCATGCTAATTATATTTATTTATTAAAAGACTCTGATGATCTG